GGATTGTTTCACGTTCTTCAGCTGGAATTTGCCTATCACAAAGGATTATTTCAAGTTCATATTAAACTCTTTTGCAATTTAGCAGCAATATTTCATCGATTTAACACTAATTGGCCCTAACTTCTAAAATAAGCTTGTAAAGTAACACTTACTTAAGTAATACCCAACATGTAAGCAACTGAAATAGAAATCGTGAGGATTAGATTTGCATGGATCTGGTAGATTATCAGGTGTGTTACCACATTTACTCTGATAGACCTGAATAAAATCGCTAGGATGAATGCTTGTTTGAAAAAACAAAAGAAAGAAGATTAATTTATAATAGATAGATTCGAAAAATTGAAAAAGTTTAGAATAACCGGAACAATAAATATCTTCATTAATAATTATTGTCAACACCTTATTTTCCTAGCATAATTCTGCATTCATCCGTTTTCAGTTATACCGAATATAGCATACCTAAGTTATCTTTGGCAAGTTTTCACTTAACTTTTCCTAAAATAAATTCTAATAAATGTTCTTTCGTGCAGTTGAAGTTAAAATCTATCAGTTAGAGAATATATTTTTCCGAAAAGCTAATAAAAAGCAAGCATACTGTAGTGACACTTCCAGTTACTCGATATTTAATTGTCGAATCATAAAGTGTCATAGCAATACTTAAATCAAATTCGTCATGTGCTTTCTCCAAAAGAACATCTAAAAACATCAGTACATTATCATATTGACGATTGTCAATTTTGCGTATTATTTCGAAGATGCAAAAAAAAAATTTGACGATAGATATTTCAAGAATTGTTTGAAGACTAGAAAATGGTTGATCTTCTGGTTACACTATTCCGGCTTTAATAATCTTAATTAGTCAGCCATTGCTCTACTTACGGCTTTCAAAAGTCATTCTTTTTATGCTGTGAAATGGTTGACAAATGCAAACTAAGTCAAATTTGACATTTGATAAATTTCATTTATAATTTTTATTTTTTCCATAAAATTTACAATTGCTTCGATCGTATGCTCCAAATAAGGTAAGGAAGAGTTGCTGCTTATCGGATAGTAAATCAAAGAAAGGTGTTCTGTCGTGATTTAACGTTAATCCCATAAATGAACGTGATGAATGAAGATGAGTTCGATTTCGTTGTCCGTATGTTCCAAGCATAAATCTATTTAGAAAATGGATGCTATTTTCCGACATAGTTGAAAGTGCAAGATTAGAAGTTTTACTTGACTATCTAATTTGAAATGAATTAAAATTTTAAATTCAAATACTAATTTAGATAATGCATTTCTAAACATAAAACATGCAAACGAACGATCCTTCTCCAGCTGGAAAATATCGTAAGGAACAGATAACAGTATTGTCCGATTGAATTGATCCTAATGGTCGCATATTTGAAATCCACAAATAGCTTCCCCAATTAAAAGGATCCACATAAGGACTTTGACGAACAATAATTCTAAAATGGAAAAGCTAATGAGCAATCAACATTTCAATATTTTGGAAGTACTTTGGGAAAACTACCGTTGTTTTTGCGGATCACATCCGGAAACATATGCTATTGGTTTCGTAAAATCAAACATGATATCCATTAGCATTCTATCATATCCATTAATGAAATAAAATCTAAACATAAATTTATCAGCGGTTACAGTCTCCGAAATTTTGGTGTTTGACTAAATAGCACATTCTTATTTCTGTTATCCAAGGGCATACCCATACCCTCAGTATTTGAACATTGATATGATAAGGAGATATTTGCTTTTTAGGAACTGAGTGATATTAATATCAGTATTCCATTTGTTCTGGCTTATGTAGTTTCAGGAAGGATTCTGCGTTAATTCATCATAAACCGTTTTACCATTTGGCTTTTTCCATTGTTAAGATATTTTCCATTTTTTCACTATTTTTACCTGTACTTTTCATTTTTATCTTTTTATCACTTGCCTTTACTTTGTTATCTTATTTTAAAGATTTATGATTAAATTTAAGAAAATTACGATTTATTAACCTTCCATTGAAAACAAGGTTAGCTTTCCAGCTTCCGTATAAAATAATGAATGAAAAGCCGTTTGGCATGACAGCAATATCTTCGGAGACAGAATCTTTCATCTTACTGATAAAATTAAAATTAGAATTAACCAAAGAAAAAAGGACTTTATAAGTTTTAAAAGAATTTGATTTAGTCAGCCATAACGAATTAAACAAATCGTTTCAAATAAAAGTATTAGTGTATTACTAATATAGTATTATTGATATAAGAACTGAGTTAATATTTTGCTTGTAGGAATATCTTGTCAGTACAAAAAACTTAATTTACTTGCTGCTATTAATGGTATAAAAAACTTACCCATATTTACTATTCAACGATGTGAATTGCTCCCGATCGTAATCATAGCCAAATTTCAATTTTGCTCCACTGAAAATCCTTTTTTCACCTATCGGATTTTTATCTGCACTTTTTACCCATTTCTTTCCCACCGATCTCACCTATTTTTTTCTTTTACCTTTTCAATCTATTTTTTATCCACCTTAAATAGAATTCAATGGATTTCTCGAAATAGCCATTCACTTTATCGGAAAATAAATGTCTTGATAGAAAAAAAAATCGAAATGTTCTGAAGTCAAAGAGAAGAGAAATATTTCAATAATTTAAAAATTTTTGACATAAAAAAAACTAAGGACGAATTTGATGTTTGCACTTAGTGGACAATAAATCTCATATCGTCTTTTTCATTTTATTCAAATGGTCAGTAGTATTTGCAGTTTAATTCATAGTTAGCATTGCTTGGAATTTCATTTAATTCTTGCTGAACTAAAGACTTGGCTGATAAAACAAGTGGCAAGGTTTGTTTATAAAAAAGCCTAATAAACAATTAAGCCAAAAACAAACAGACCTGTTAGTCGCTTCATAAATAACATATGGTGTTGCTAATTCATTATTATACGATGTAGAAAATGTGAATCTAAAAAAAAAAAATTTGAAAATACAAGGTTATTCTTTTAAATATGATGGAAAATTTCTATGATCTTGAAAGTGTTACCAAAGGATAAGTCATCTAAACCAAGCAATCAAACCAGTAATTAGTAAAGATCAAGCAAAAGAACTTAAGAAGTTTTCCAAAAAATTATGATCAGAAATTTCTGCTAAATAGATCAAATAAGAGTGCTCAAGAAGTTTTCAAAAAAAATATGGTCATGAATCATTGTCGATCAAAGTTAATTAACTTATTGTTGAGATATAAATTTCCAAATTAGTATAAGATATCAGCAGTTAATTTCACACTTTCTGCATTTTTGGCGAAATATAACTTTGACAAAAATTATACTACTACGTATCGGATGAGTGTAATAATTAGTCGTTGGATCTTCCAATGGTTCCTTGAAAAAATGAAATACTTCTTGCTTGAATGGGAAATGAAAACTTTTGAATTTTTGAAAATTTTGAGAACAAATCGGAAAAAATTTTTGAATTTCTCTAAAATTTTGAAAAGATTGAATTTCTCAACTAAAAAATCCATTATCCAAATTTCAATGAAATAAAACCAAATTCAAATAATCTAACCCCTTCATCTTTATCCATTACATCTAACTGTGCAAAATTCATTTTCAGTAATAACAAACTAAAAAGCCACTGCTTGATATCCATTATCCATTTAAAATCATTATTACTTTACAATAATTCTCTTTTAAAATATTTCTTAAATGCGAAAATTTTGCATTAAATAATATTATAATTTCGAATTGCTTCTTTATTATTATCATTTTTTTAATTACATTTTTTCAATTTTTAAAGAGAGAGAGAGAGAGAGAGAGAGTAATCGTTTT